TGGCCCCGTGGACCGCTGCTTGGCCCCATGCATGCTGCCCTTTGGGGAGCTCTCCATCTCTCCCAGGCTATGCTGAGCCTAGGTATCTCCCTGCATGCCTCTTCAGCTCCCCGCTTCCCCTTGCCATAAGCCCATCCCATAAGCTCTCATCTTAGGCCTTCCTCACCTGGTGCCCGATTTCTGTCCTTTAGCTTCCGAAACTCTTCCTCGCCCTTGCTCACAGCTTCCCTCTCCTCTGCTCTTATCACACCAACTCGCTTTCCTCCTATGGACTCAAAACACTTTATTGCTCCACCTTATTAACTCCTGGACACCCATCCTCCTGCTTCCCAGGCTTATTTACCACTCTCCCTTTGCTTCCAGGCTCCAGTCTCCCCGAGTTCTCATTCCACTGCTGTCCCTGCTCCAGAGCGTTCTTCCTTTTTACAAACACAACGACGATAACGATGATGGTGATGATGATAATTTATTGCCCCCTGGTGGCCTCTTCATTAGGGACCAGAGTTAGGGGGATTGGGGTTAGTGACCTGGCAGGGAGCAGGGTACTAAAAGGGGGGCAGACCATTGGGGATCTGATCCCAAAGATGGGGTGACCCCCAGGGTCAGGGAGGCTGCCCCCAGGCCTGTATATTTAACCCCTATGTTCCAAGAGAAATGAATAATAATAATAATTCTATTTATCTAAGTTATGATGACAGGTCAGGTAGAGTGAGCTGGGGAGGGGGAAAGGAGGTCCGTTTCTGCTACGGAAATTTTAGCCAAATGCATCTCGGAATAGAAGTGTTAGGAGAGATCTTGTTAATAGAATTTCTATCATCAGGGTCTCAGTTAAAGGGGTTCCTCTTTAAATGGAATCTGCTAATGGGATTGGTTAGCTTGGTCTGTTAAAGAGTGATGGGGTTATCTCTCAATTAGGGGATCCCTAATATTCCCGCCCCCAGCCAGAAGCTGTGAAACTTCAAGTCCTATGGAGGGGGGAAGGGGACTGGAATTACCCCAGCTTCCTCAAACCCAGAACCAGTTCTTCCACTTCTCCTCCGCTGACACCATGACCCCATCAGGCTAATCCCTTGTTGTCATGGTTATGGAGAATTTACAGCTGCCATTTGAGACAGGCTCATTGGAGAAGCCCACCTCACAGGAGGAGGACATTGATCTGGAGGTGCCTCTCCTACAGAATAGGTGGGGAAGGTTTTCTCTGGGATCAGATGAAAAAAAAAAACATCAAGTATTTATTGAGTGCCTACTCCGTGAACAAGGCCGGTGCCTAGAACCCATGACAAAGAAGTTACAGAGCTAGGAGGTCATAGGTCCCTAAGCTGATTGGGGTGCATACACAGGCCCCCAACTGGGGACTTTCGACGCTCCCACCTCCACCTCCAGTGACTTTCAAGCCGCTTCGTGCCTTTGAATACCTTTCCTGTGACTTTGGATCCTCCTTTTCTGTCTCCTGCTCCCTCAAGGCCCCCCGGTTCGAGGGTTCAAGCCGCTGGAGCTTGGGGAGAGGGTAATAAAATGGAAGGGAAGGGATCATGCCCTCATGGAGTCTTTTCTTTTTTCTTTTTTTAATTTAATAAATAAAAGTTCGAGTTTAAACTTTGTCCTGGTGAGAAAAGGGGGCTCGGAAGGGAAAAGGGTGAGCCACAGGACTTTTTTTCTTGGGAAAACTGGGGCCTGCGTTCTGGGGAGCTGGTTGGCACAGGGTGCCCGCGGGAGAAGCTCCGTCCCCAGCTCTCCAGCGAGATCGGCGCTGACCGCGCACAGCTCTCCGCGGAGCTGGGGAGGCGGAGGGGCTTCTTCCTACTCCTCCTCGAACCCTGCAGCCATGAGCCCTGCAGCATGGACCCTGCAGCCATGGGCTCAGCGGCCATGGGCCCTGCAGCATGGACCTTGCAGCAATGGGCCCTGCAGCAATTGGCCCTGCAGCCATGGGCCCTGCAGCAATGGGCCCTGCAGCCATGGGCCCTGCAGCATGGAGCCTGCAGCCATGAACCCTGCAGGCCCGTACCAACTGCGGCCCCAGCCCGGCCGAGAGGCGGGCCCGCGGGCGCCCGGCCTGGCACCTCCCCCGCCCCCGTCCCGGCCGCAATCAGCCGTGCCCGCCGCGGAGTTAGCGGGGGAACAAAAGCCGGTCTGTGGCGGCCGTCCGCGGCCACAATAGGGCTTTGTGCGGCCCTCACCCCCGGGCTCCTCTGCTGGCCTAGGGGGCTCTCGGGCCGCGCCCCCGGGCCCGGGCCCGACTGCGAGGGCGCCCGGCCCACCGTCCCCATCGCGGGCTCGGGAGCCGCGAGGAGGCGCCAGAGGTGGCGGCCGGGCCGGCGGCCGGGCGGGAGGAGTGGGGGGCCGGGGCGGCGGGTCCGAGGCGGCGGGCCGGGCGGTCTCGGGGCGCCGGCCGCCCTCCGCCAGGTGCGAAATCTCCTGCCTCCGGCGCGGCTTCAAAGGCGCTTTGAAGAAGTCGGGGGGCGAGGGGCCGGGGCCGGGGTGCTGGGAGCTGCCCGCGCGGGAGCCTGGAGTGGACCCCGGATCCCGCCCCGCCCGCCCGGACCCCCCAGGGCCTGGCCCGCTGGCCTCCGGCCTCCGCCTGCCCGGTGCCAGCTCCGGCCCGCCGCAGCCCGCGGCCCTCCCTCCCCGCCCCGCGGCCCCTTTCATCTTCCCCAGACTCCGCTTGGGGGTTGCTGGGTTCGGGGAGATAAAAACCGCCTCAAACAGCGGCGGCGCGCCGCCAGGACAAACAGGGCCGGGCGGGCCATGTGCGCCTGGTTACGGCCCGGCCGGGTCGCCGGGAAGGGGCGGCGGGCCGCGCGCCAAGCACCCGGCTCCCGGGCTGCCTCCCGAAGTGGGGGGCCGGGTCAGGCGCTGCCTCGGTTTCCCGCCCAGGTCGCAGGGGGTGGGTGGGTGGCGACCTCCCGCTAAGCTCTCCCCGCCCCCGGGGCTGCGAGTCCCCGTCGCGGTGTCGCCGGGGCGGCGGCGCCCCCTGGTGGAGTCCGCGGGGAGTGCGCCAGGCCCGCGCTGCAGTCCGTGTGTGTCTCCCCCCCCCCCCCCCCCCCCCCCCCGCAGAGTCTGCAAGTTGTGAAAACCATTCTAGGAACATTAAATGAGGAGTATGGGGAAGGCGGTGTCGGAATGGGAATACACAGAGCACACACTTCCTCTTTCCAGTTCCCATCGCGGGCTAGGAGGCAAGCGCCCACCCATTAATTATAATACAACCTCCTGGTGAAAATCAGGCTTCACCAAAGGGAGGTGGAAGTTGCAGGTCGAGGCCGTAGTAACTTCGTGGCCGTAGTAACTTCGTGGGGGTATCTTTGGGTTGGATGGTGTCACGCCTGAGGCAAAACAAATCCTTTGTGGTGGGTTCTCAGCGCTTTCCACTAATCTGTCAGAGTCACAGACTCCCTCTATCTCCAAACCCGTCCTGCTCCCCCTTCCCAAGGAGAACTTCCCACAGAGTTCCCCAAAGGGTTTTTACTTTATGCTCTGCAAGCCTTCTGGGACTTCCCAGGCTTCAGTGAACGGAGCTAGCAAAACTGTCCTGTGTGGTATTATCACCTGGGAGCTTTTTGGAAATTTAGCTTCACAGGTCCACTCAGAATCTGCATTTTAGCAAGATCCTCAGATGAGTCCTATGGCCATTAACATTCTAGAGTCCTTGTTTTCAGACCTGGGAATAACTTTTGGTAGAAAGGAGCAGCAGGCACAGAATCTAAGAATGCTAAATTATAATGCGCCCTACTACCTACCATGAGATGAGCAGTTCTTGGGAGTAAAGACTGTGCCTCAAAAATTTCTGTCCCGTCCTAGCCGGTTTGGCTCAGTGGATAGAGCATCAGCCTGAGGACTGAAAGGTCCTGGGTTGATTCTGATCAAGGCCATATGCTCGGGTTGCAGGCTCAATCCCCAGTAGGGATTGTGCAGGAGGCAGCCAATCAATGATTTTCTCTCATCATTGATGTTTCTATGTCTCTCTCCCTCTCCCTTCCTCTACCAATAAAAACATTAAAAACATTTCTCTGTCCCCAGAGCATGGTCCTTGGAATTTGCTCATTAATTTTGTTAAATGAATGAACCAATGCCTAAGTCGTTTAGTCCATGACAGCTATGACTAATGATCTCTGATATCTGTTTAGTGGTTTATAATTTATTAAATGGCTTCATTTCCATTTTGAATGAAAAAACAACCACATGAAATAATTAGGGCACTGCAAAGTGAGGAAGCGGAGGCTTAAAGAATTCAATGATTTTTCCCAAGGTCATGTAGCTGTAAGCCGAGGAGCCACTATTCTGCATTAGTCTCCTTGGAGTTAGATAGAATAAGATCAATTTCACTTTTATTTTGAAGTTGAATGCCTGGTTTTGATATTTTCAGGTCAGATTTCTCAGTGTCTTGTTCTCCTCATGGGGTTGTTGTAAAGGTTATACAAACGCTTATAATACATGCTCAGGAAGTTTTACTGTTTTCCCACTGTTCCCCCCTTTCCTTCCAGGACGCCTAGCCCTGTGGGCCCTAAGATCTGGCAGCCAACACTTCTCGCTCTCAATGACTTTTCTTCACCCTGAGGCTTTCCAGCCCATGTGTCTTCACGGTGCGATTCACAGTCCTGGGGGCGTTAAATGAGGTACTTCCTTGAATGTGGCTCACTTGGGGCTTTCCAAGAGAGTGGGAGATGGTATTTGGGAATTCGGAACTGGGAAAAACAGCAGCCCCACAGGAAAAAAACAAAAACCTCCCAACAAGGGGTTGGGCCTGCGGACGTGTCCACGTCGTTTTCCCTCCAACCGCCAGGTGGCGCGCGAGGAAGCGCTAGAAGTCTATCTCCCCTCACCCCCCCCCCTCCCGACTGCGCAAGCGTCCTTCTTCTTTATGCTCTTCACTTCCGTTGAGCTTTACTTCGCCGTTTGTCCCAGGCGGCCACCCGTACGCGTCCGAATCTAGCCCGGGAACTAAGAGAGGCGCTGCGTTCGCGAGTTTGCCGGTCCCGGACGTCCTCGGGAGCGGCCTGATGTGCTCCCTAGGGTTGTTCCCTCCGCCTCCGCCTAGGGGCCAGGTCACCCTCTACGAGCACAATAACGAGCTGGTGACGGGCAGTAGCTATGAGAACCCTCCTCCTGACTTCCGGGGCCAGGTGGCTGGGGCGAGGAGGGAGGGGACCTACGGGCTTGGGCGGAGTCAGGGGGACCCGGGAACCCGAGGCTGTGCGGTGGGGGCGGGGTTGGGGTTGCCAGTCCTCACCTGGGCGGACTGGAAGCTGCCCAGCCCGGGCTGGAGAAGAATAGAAGAGCAGGATGTATGTTAGGGCTGGGATTAGAGGATGAGGGGTGCTGGGAAGCTGTGGGGCAGGCATAGAGAGAGTGGAGAGACTGTGAGGGCAAACCTAGGGGGTGTGAGGGTGCAGGAGAAGGACTGAAAAGTTGGGATCAGTATCTGGGAGAAACTGAGAAAGCACATCTTGGAGAGTTTTGTGTTTCCCCCCTTTGGTGTTCCTGGGAAGGAAAAGGAAGAGAAAAAAGGACATTTGTTGAGCGTTTACTCTGTAAGAAGGAGGCTCTGAGTTAGGTGTTCACAAATATTGTAAGATTTAATAATCACAACAACCCTATGAAATTTTATTGTCCTTTTTTACAGATAGGGGAGCTAAGAGCTGTTTTCCGGTTTCTCAAGTGTATTTGTGGAAATGGGAAATGGGTCTCTGCAGCCTCTTACCCTTGGTCCAGCCATGGGTTCGGATGGCAAGGGGGTTCAGCAGAGATCTGGGAAAGAGACTGACTCATTGTCAACCTCTCATTTCTGGGCTCTAGTGGATCAATTTTCCTGTCCTAAACCTGTCCAAGGACCCTCTGAAGAACCCGGGGAGGCTGGACCATGGCACAAGAACTGCTTTCATCCATCATCGGGAGCAAGTGTGGAAGAGATGCATCAATATTTGGTGAGACATGGCAAAGGGTCTCTTGGACTGGATGAGGTCACCACCTCTCTGCCTCGGCTGATAGACTCTCAATCTTCACTGTGGAGCTCAAGGCTGTGCAACAGTTTTTCCGTTTCAGCTCTAATGACTTGCTTTGCTTTCTGGTTTGAACCTGCTCCCTACTCAGCAAGGTTGGCTGTAAGATTGCAGTGAATAATCTTGTGCCTAGGTCATTGATTTTGCACATGTACGAGTGGAGCCATACTGCCTGGATTAATTTCCTGGCTGTGCCACTTCTAGCTGTGTGACCTTGGGCAAGTTACCTTATTCACTCTGTCCCTCAGTTTCTCCATCTGTAAAATGGCACCTGTCTCACAAGGTTGGAGTGATGATTAAAGAGTTAGTAGATGTAAAACACTTAGAACAATGCCTGTCCCATATGAATCCCCTCAAGAGTTAGCTATTATCAATGTCATTTGTAGAGTGAATTCCTACAAATGAAGGAGCTGGTTTCAAATTACAATTCATTTGTAATTTCATGTGCTGTTGTCAAATAGTCCTCCTTTGAAATTGTGCATACGTAGCCCTAGCCTGGTTTGCTCCGTGGTTAGAGAGTCAGCTTGGGGTGAGGTTCGATTCTGGTCAAGAATGGTACCTCCATTGTAGGTTGCATGCTTGAGCTCCAGTCCTGGCCCGGGCACCAGGGTGCGAGTGTGGGAGACAACCAGTTGGTGTGCCTCTTACATCAATGTTTCTCTTCTTTCTCTCCCTTCCATTCCTTCTAAAAAAACAAAAAACAAAACAAAAAATCCTCTGGCCCTAGCCTGTTTGGCTTAGTGGATAGAGCAGGGGTCTGCAACCTTTAAGACATAAAGAGCCACTTGGACCCGTTTTCGAAGGAAAAAAAAACCTGGGAGCCGCAAAACCATTGCGACATTTAAAACAAATATAACACTGTATATATTGTTTCTTACCTTAATGCTATATACTGGATCGTGCAGTTAGCTGTCAATCTGAAGAAAAAAAGGACTTTTTCACTTAACAATGATTAATAGCTAATTAAAATATTTAATTTACCTGGTTAATGGGATTTTTGCTCCTGAACCTCAGTGCGCAGTGTCAGCACATCAGGGCTGTAAGACGTTACCTTCATTTTCACACAGCCTTGCAAGTTGTCGGAGCCGCGGTAAAGCTTCAAAAGAGCCGCATGCAGCTCTGGAGCCGTAGGTTGCCGACACCTGGGATAGAGTGTTGGCCTGTTGACTGCAGGGTCCTGGGTTTACTTCCCGGTCAGGGCACATGCCAGGGTTGCAGGCTTGATCCCTATCTAGTGTGGGGCATACAGGAAGCAGCTGATCCATGATTCTCTGTCATCACTGATGTTTCTATCTCCCTCTTCTCCCTTTCTCTCTGAAATCAATAAAAACATATTTTTAAAAAAAGAAAAAAATATCAAAGAAAATAAAAAAAAATTGTTCATATTTATAGTCCTACCAGTAGTGTATGAGAGTGCTGTCAAACTTTAGTATTTGGGCCCTAGCTGGTTTGGCTTAGTGAATAGAGCATTGGCCTGCGGACTGAAGGGCCCCGGGTTTGATTCTGGTCAAGGGCACATGCCAGGGTTGTGGGCTCAATTCCCACTAGGGGGTGTGCAGGAGGCAGCCAATCAATGATTCTCTCTCATCATCGATGTTTCTATCTCTCCCGCTCTCTTCCTCTCTGAAATCAATAAAAACATATTAAAATCTTTAATATTTGGAATTACAGTATGGTTTAATTTGCATGTCTTTTTGTATGTGAGTGAAGTTAAGTATCAATTCATTGTCTGAAAGTTATTCAGTCCTGGGCCCTTTCTCACTCTGCCTCTCCAGCTGCTGCTTCTCTTCCTAATGTCCCTTAGATGTTGGTGTCCTGGGCTGGACTTGCAATTGATGCTCCACACCTGGGCGTTCACTTGTCTGCCAAACACCCCCTCTAACCTGCAGCCAAGACTGATCTTTCTAAAATGCCTCTGCTTAATAATCCTTCCATGGCTCTCCATTCACTGACGTAGGGCTAGTCTCTATTCCTTGACTGGCTCACAAGGCCCTGGAAGATACCTGAGCCTTAGTTGCCTAATTGGTCAGACGTGCAGAATGCTCATTTTAGTGCGATAATTAAATGAAAGAACAATATATGAAGTGGCACTTAGTTGCCACTCAATAAGTGTGAATTCTCTTATTTGTAATACATGTTTATTGAGTGAATGGATGACATTTGTAGAAGGTAGACTGAAGAGATCAGAGTATTCTGACTCACAGCTTCCTCTTCTTGTCAGGTGTGATATGGGCCTGTTTGGGGTGCTGAATGAAATTGCTAACTCGGAGGAGGAGGGTAAGTATTTCTCCCTCCAGCCCTCTCTAGCCTTATTGTTGGCATCACCCCTTCATAGTCTCCCTAACTCATCCTGGTACCTGTTGGCCCAGCCCTTTCCCTTTAGCCCTGTTTTCCCCGGCCAGTTGTTTGCACTGCTGCCGTCTTCTTCCCCTCTTCCCCCCTCTTCCTACCCTGCATATCCCAGAGTGGGTGTCCAGAAACACTATTCCATAGAAGGACCTGGGGAGTGCTCCTCCCTCACCTAAGAGGGTGCCCAGTTGGAGCCCTGCGAATGGTTTAATCAGAGCTGTTTTCTCAACCCCACAGTGTTTGAGTGGGTGAAGACCGCGTCCAGCTGGGCCCTGGCACTCTGTCGATGGGCCTCCTCCCTCCATGGGTCCCTGTTCCCACACCTGTCTGTAAGTTTAGCTTTCTCCCCTGGCCCTTCCCACTCCCACCCTCCTCTCCATTTCCTTAAGGGCTAGGCGGGGTGGGAAACCTGCGGAAGGTGGGTGTGATCCACTGGGAACATTATGGGGATTAGCTCCTTTTGTCCCAGTGCATCCTTGATCCGATCTGATCCTACAGCTCCGGAGTGAAGATCTGATTGCTGAATTTGCCCAAGTCACAAATTGGTGAGTGTGCCAGCTCCGAGGCTGTGGTAGGAAGGAAGTCCTGAAACTTGCAGCTTCTTTTGGGGAGAGGGAAGTCTATGCACAGATTCCTCCCACCCTTTTCCTGACTGCCTCCCACATTCTCACTCCTTCTAACCCCCCCCCCCAAAATAAAAAGTAAAAAAAAAACCACAATAAAGTCCTTATATGAAAAGGAATCTGAACTTCTGGGTTGGGGTAAAGATAGGAATAGATTTGGACTCTTCATGGTCATTCCTGCCCCAGGTCCAGCTGCTGCCTGCGGGTCTTTGCATGGCACCCCCACACCAACAAGTTTGCGGTGGCCCTGCTGGATGATTCGATCCGCGTGTATAATGTTAATAGGTATGTGGGGCCTTCTGGGCAAGCTCTGACTGCAGTCTCTGTGGTTTCGTCTCCACTCCTCTGTCCCGCCTTGGACCCAGGAGAGTCCTGCAGTTCCTGGGCCTGGCCCACAGGGCTCCTTCTGGAACTGCATGTGTTCTCTCTCCAGATAGAATCTGTATCTTATCCTGCCCCACAGTTCCCCGGCCCTGTGAGCCTTCTCTGTGGATTTGCCTCTCAACTGTACTCCGTTCCTCTGAGCCTTAGTCTTCCCCCTTCCATCGCAGCACCATCGTCCCCTCCCTGAAGCACCGGCTGCAGCGCAATGTGGCAGCTCTGGCCTGGAAGCCCCTCAGTGCCTCGGTCTTGGCTGTGGCCTGCCAGAGCTGCATTCTCATCTGGACCCTGGACCCCACCTCCTTGTCTACAAGGTGGGTCCCACTCTGTCTTACCATGGTCTCAGGTGGTGGCCCTGCTAGGAGTAGTGAGGAGATCTCCGAGGAGAAGTTCTCTGTCCTCACGGCAGTTCCCACGGGAGAAGGAGACCTAAGGTCAGGGTGCTAAATACTTTAATCTAGAGAAAGGGACAGAAGTAGGGGCTCCTGGGATTCTGGGAAGTGTATGTCTATGAATTAAGGAGTGGAAAGACTGTCTCTTTTAGAAGACTGTCAGATACAGGTTTAAGGTAAGGTGGGAAGGGAGTTAATATGGATATAAATTGAAACCAATGAAAAACAAAACCCAGGAGAATTAACTAATATAAAACCAGAAACTGGTTCTTTAAGTTATGAATAAAGAAAAACTTTTGGCTGAAACTGGTTTGGCTCAGTGGATAGAGCGTCGGCCTGCGGACTGAAGGGTCCCAGGTTTGATTCCGGACAAGGGCATGTACCTTGGTTGTGGGCACATCCCCTGTAGGGGGTGTGCAGGAGGCAGCTGATTGATGACTTTCTCATCGATGTTTCTGGCTCTCTCTCTCTCCCTTCCTCTCTGTACAAAATCAATAAAATATATTTAAAAAAAAAAAAAATGCCAGGCTGACATCGTTTTATGAGAGTTTTATCTAATTGTCAAAGAAAGATTATCTCCATGCTAATTCAGACCATAGAAAAAGTAGGAAATCCTTCTGATTAATTTTTTACTTTTAATAAAATATTTTAGTATAATTTTATTTTATTTATTTAAATTTTAAAAAATTGATTTTAGAGAGGAAGGGAGGAGAGGGAGATAGAAACAGAAACATCAATTATGAGAGGGAATCATTGATCCCTTCAGTCCACCGGCCGATGCTCTAGCCATTGAGCAAAATCAGCAAGGGAGATGATTAGATTTTTAACAAAGATAGTGGAGAGTTTTGATATATCATCCATCATGCAGTTTCCCCATTTTAAATATACTTCCCTGTTACATTTGTCAAAACTAAGAAACTCTCCAACTGGTTGGATGTTGACCTATGAACCAGGAGGTCAATTTGACTTCTGGTCAGGGCACATACCTGGGTGAAGGGTTCGATCCCCAGTGTGGGGCATGCAGGAGGCAGCCGATCAATGATTCAACCTTATTATTTATCTATTTTATTAATTCTTACCTGAGGATATTTTAAAAATATATTTACTTCATTGATTTTTATTTTATTTTTTTTACAGAGAGGGAGAGGGATAGTGAGTTATAAACATCGATGAGAGAATCATCGATCAGCTGCCTCCTGCACACCCCCTCCTGGGGATGTGCCCAAAACCAAGGTACATACCCTTGACCGGAAACGAACCTGAGATCCTTGAGTCTGCAGGCCGATGCTCTATCCACTGAGCCAAACCCGTTAGGGCCCTGAGGATATTTTTTCCATTGATATATTTTCTTAGAGAGAGTGGAAGGGAGAGGGAGAGGCAGAGAGAAACACCCATGTGAGAGAGATGTATCAATTGGTTGCCTCCCACACATGCACTCAACCAGGGTTGGGAGCCTGCAGCCGAGGTATGTGCCCTTGCCTGGAATTGAACCCTGGACCCTTCAGTACACAGGCTGACGCCAAAGCAGCTGGGGCTCATTGTTTATGTTTCTGTCTCTCTCCCTCTCCCGTCCTCTCTCTCTAAAAATCAGTAAAAAGCATTAAAAAAGAAAAAAAAGCTGATGTAAAACTGAAATGCCCATGGCTAAATAAATTATGGTTATCTGTTGAGTAGAATACAGGGAATCTACTGAAAAGAATAAGATAGGTCTCTATGAACTGGAAAGGTAACTATGATTTACTGTAATGTTAAAGCATAAGTTGTAGATCAGTGGCCTAAGAAGACCTCATTGGAGCTAAAAGTGGTTATGGTTCAGTGGAAAAGCCAGAGGGTGGCACTAATTCAGGCAGTGGCCTGTACCTGTCAGGCCAAATAGGTGGCTCTGGAGATGGTGGTGCCCTCAGGCAGTTCCCAGCCTAGTGTTGGAGGCCAACCCCTAGGCAGCATCTTTATGGCAAGCAGAAAAGAATGCAGGAGCAGAGGAGGGAGGCTGATTAAAAACAAAAACAAAAAGTTGTTATTGATTTCAGAAAGGGAGGAAGAGGGAGAGAGAAACATCAATGACTGGCTGCCTCCTGCACGCTCCCTACTAGGAATCGAGCCCGCGACCTTGGGCCTATGCCTTCGACAGGAATTGCACCCGGGAGCCGTCAGTCTGCCACTCTATCCACTGAGCCAAACCGGTTAGGGCGGGAGACTGATCTTATAAGGAAAGGCAAAAATACAGGTTTTGCAGCACAGGATGAGTTCTGGGGAGTGGCAGATGATTCTGGCAAGAGAAGAATTTTTAAAAAATACATATTTTATTGATTTTTTACAGAGAGGAAGGGAGAGGAATAGAGAGTTAGAAACATCGATAAGCTACCTTCTGTACACCCTCTACTGGGGATGTGCCTGCAACCAAGGTACATGCCCTTGACCGGAATCAAACCTGGGACCCCTCAGTCCGCAGGCCGACGCTCTATCCACTGAGCCAAACAATCAGGGCTGGTGAGAGAATTTATACCAGGCCCCTGGCAAGACGGTCCTGTGGGAAGAGGGCTGTCTTCTCTGGTGGAGCATGATGTCTCCCAGCTTACCAGTTCTAGCTTTACTGGTCAGAAAGTTTTATTTCTCCTTGAGGACTATAGTGAAAGCTTACCCCCTTTTACCCATTTTCCTGTGTGGACCTACTGGTGGTGACATTGCTTTCCTTCCTTAGTTTTTTCTTTAACTTGCACAATCTTTATTCATTTCTCCAACCTGGATTTGAGCTCCGAGGGACCATTGGGATTTGGAAATTTTATCAGGAGGAGGCAAGGAAATAAAATCAGGGGCTTTCTTGTCTTCTGACTTCATACCCTATTTCCTCTTGGCAGACCCTCCTCTGGCTGTGCTCAAGTGCTCTCGCACCCTGGGCACACACCCGTCACCAGCCTGGCCTGGGCGCCCAGCGGGGGGCGGCTCCTCTCAGCTTCACCTGTGGATGCTGCCATCCTGGTAGGTTGGTCCCCACCCTTTTGGCCATTGCAGCCACTCCTCAGGTTGAGGAAGGAGCCTTCTTTGCTACTGGTGGGCAGTGCCCTTTAGGAAGGAAAGGGAGAATTGTCCATCCAGTCTTACCTTACCTAGGGAAGGAGCTGCATCATCCAGACTCAGATTGTAAACATAAAACTTATTTTTCCTCCTGTTTTTTTTTTTTTTTTTAATATATTTTATTGATTTTTTACAGAGAGGAAAGGAGAGAGAGCGCTAGAAACGATGAAAGAGAAACATCGATTAGCTGCCTCCTGCACACCCCCCACCGGGGTGTTGAGTTTCCTGTCTGCTCTCTTGACCCCACTCTCCTAGGTCTGGGATGTCTCAACAGAGACCTGTGTTCCCCTTCCCTGGTTTCGGGGAGGAGGTGTTACCAACCTGGTCTGGTCCCCAGATGGCAGCAAAGTCCTGGCTTCCACTCCTTCAGCTGTGTTTCGGTGAGTGGGAGGGGGACGGAGGGAGGGCAAGAGTGACCTGGAGGAAGCACTTGGCTCCTGGAACTTGAAGCAGGAAGGACCTTCTGTCCTCATTCCTGTTCTTTGGCCTTACCCGGCACTGAGAGGGAGTGAGGTTTACATTTTGGAACCAGAGGTCCTGAGCTGTGATTTGCTTCTCTCTGGTGCAGAGTCTGGGAGGCCCAGATGTGGACTTGTGAGAGGTGGCCCACTCTGTCAGGGCGATGTCAAGTGAGTTTCAAAGAAGCTGGGGAGGAAGGAGTTGGGCCCCAGGTTCCTTCTACTTCCTTTCCTCTTCCATTCCCCCGCAGACCACCCTCTCCTTGCCTTTTGCTTCCTGATCCAGACAGGCTGCTGGAGCCCAGATGGAAACCGGCTGCTGTTCACTGTATTGGGGGAGCCACTGATTTACTCCTTATCATTCCCACAACGTTGTGGTGAGCTTGGGGAAACACTTCAGGGTGCAGACCATCTCTGGGGCAGTCAAAGGGAACATGCCACTCTGAAGGGTAAAGGGAAGTAAAGCAGCTTGGGAGATGAGAGGTGTTGATGCCTATGATGGAGGAGGCAGAGGACAATGTTTCCTGTACTTAAGTGCCCCTGCCCTCATCCAGGTGAGGGAAAGGGACGTGTTGGAGGAGCAAAATCAGCAACGATTGTGGCAGATCTGTCCGAGACCACAGTACAGACACCGCATGGAGAGGAAAGGTGAGCGGAGTGGGGGAGGGGGAGACAGTGGAATGTGAGAGGCCCTGCTGAACCCTCCCAACCTACTGTTCTGACCCACAGGCTTGGGGGAGAGGCTCACTCCATGGTCTGGGACCCCAGTGGGGAGCGTCTGGCTGTGCTCATGAAAGGTAAGAGGTGGGGAGGCGGGTCTATGCTCAGGCTCTAGCCACCTTACCGGTGTCCACACCCTGGCTGCAGCTCTCTGCCCCTGCCCTGGGATTCGGCCTCTAGATTCCTTCCTGCATCCATTTCTTCCAGGAAATCCCCGGGTCCAGGACGGTAAGCCAGTCATCCTCCTTTTCTGCACTCGCAACAGCCCTGTGTTTGAGCTACTTCCTTGGTAAGTGCTGGGCAGGCCATTAGATCTGGGCTCCTCACCAGCCTTCCCCCACTGCCACATCCCCTCTGCCTCTAGCTGCCTCTTATTGTTTCTTCTCCCCCTAGCGGCATCATCCAGGGAGAGCCAGGAGCCCAGGCCCAGAGCATCACTTTCCATCCTTCCTTCAAAAAAGGGGCTCTGCTCAGTGTGGTGAGTGGGCCAGGCTGCGGGTTTCAGAGTGAGATGGAGGAGCTGAGGGCCTTGGCTGCTGTGTGGCTCTGCCGCATGGCCTCTGAGCCCAGCCCCTGAGACTTTTCTCTCTCCTTTCCGCAGTGCTGGTCCACAGGCCGCGTCGCCCACATCCCTCTGTTCTTTGTCAATGCCCAGTTCCCACACTTTAGCCCAGTGCTTGGCCGAACCCAAGAGCCCCCAGCTGCGAGTGGAACTTCTATTCACGATCTGCCCCTCTTCACTGAGACATCCACAACCTCTGCTCCTTGGGACCCTCTCCCGGGGCCACCACCTGCTCGGTCCCACTCCCCTCACCCCCACTTCCAATAATAAAAACTTCTGTGTTTCCCACTCAATTCTGAGACTCAAGGGAACTGCATTAGGGTATGGTGAAGAAAAAAAGGCACAGACTTTGGGTTAAGATATTGGTTCTGTCACTTTTAACCACTTCTCATGAGTTTGTCAAGTTTGCCTTAGGAACTGGATGGTTTTCAAATGATTGTGAAAGAAAAGTGGAAAAAATACAAAAAGTCCTGAAGATCTAGCATAGGCTCTGGCATGTAATAGATGTTTCACTTCCCCCAAGTTCCAGCAAATCGCCAGGATGGTGCAGGTTGGGAATGTGGCAGACTTGGTCAGTGTGAGAAGAAATTTTATTGGATGAGGGGAGGTGAGGGAGGTATAAGTGCTGGGCGCTGGGCCAAGGTGGCACGGGCCATGCTCAAGGCACCCTCCCGGGTGCGGTGCCCACCAATGAAGCCGGTGGCATGGACAAAGATGCAGCCAGGAATTCCACTGACCTGGTCCAGGGCCTCATCCCGAAGACCCCGCCACGATTCCGGCAGGGGCAGCCTACAAGCGAGCAGGAAGAACAAGTTGGTGAGAGCACATGGAGGCCTTGAGGAACGGAGAGGGGAACAGAACAGAGGCCACGACTAGTGGCAGCCTCTGCAGGCTGCAACAGGGCCTCACCTGCTCTGGAATGAATGGAGCTCCTTGGGCACACACTGGACCCGCCACTGTCCAGCCTGGTCAGTGAAGATAACAAAGGCGATGGTGACTGGGGGTGACAGCTCAGATTCCAGGTGGTAAAGGTGCTCTTTCCAGGGGCATCCACCTTTTGCCAGTTCTATTATCTCCCCGCTTGGGTCCACCTGAAAGGGGGGAAGTGGGGTGTGGCTGGAAGGTTCAGGGTAGACAGCCCACCAGGAGTCACTAATCCACAACGCCTCCTCCCAGGCCTGTACCTGTAATCGCTGGGCCAGGGCCTCTTCTACCAGGGCCCGGGCTGGCATCCAGCTGTGCTGGTAGAAGTCTAGTCTCTGCAGAAACTCCTCCCGAACCAGATCCATTGCACGCTTGAACCCCGCCTGGAAATCAGAGCCCCTCTCATTTCCACCCCTGAGGTCTTACATGCCTCATTTCCTTCCCCTGGGCCCTCCTTACCTCGGTGTCTTGGTTAGGCTGGTTCCAGGTAGGGTTAAGCCGGGCGACCCGGGCACTCAGTGTAGTGGTCAGCGCATATCGAGGCTCTCCCTCCCACTGGGAGATCCCATTGTCCACTGCATCCACCTCCTCCACGAAGTTCTCATACATCTAAGGTGGCAGCAGAAATGCTTTTAGGGTACCTACCACTTGCATGGTCAAGTTTTACAGATTTCAAAGTTATATGTATACACTCTCTCTTATTTAATCTCTATACAATGAGCCAGTGGGTGAGGAAAGGGGAACTGGGGTGTCCAGCAGCTTGCTTACGGTCAGAGCTAATAGTGCTGGAATTTGGATCACTGGTTGCTAATCCAGTGCTCATTCTATCACACAGGCCCTAGCTGAGGCAGCATATGTGGGAGGAGGCTGCTGCCTTCTGAGCAAAGACCTGGAGTTCCAGGAGGGGCTCTGTGGGATGGATCCCTGCGGCTGAGGGAGGGTAGATCTCTGAGGGGCTGAGCAGGCTACTCAGTGACCTGTTTCATGAGGCCCAGGAGGCTCTGGCCAAACACAGGGGTCAGTTGGGAGAGAATAGGTGCTGCACTAGACATCAAGCGCTGGGTGTGGTCCCAGAGAGATCCACGGCGGGCTGCGTGGCATCAGCAGCTGCTGCATCTCCTAAGCCTTAGGAAATGGTAGGACAATGCCGCAAGAGTCTGGGGGCAGAAACGATATGGGATATCAGCGTTCAAGGCAAAATTGCCCTACAAAACAGACTTACATATCAACACGTGGGGCATGTGAAAAAAGCAGTCTCAGGGAGAGCCAAAGAAGAAACGCCTCTATGCCCAGCCCCTTCGTCTATGCAGAGGCCGCCACTAGTGATAATCAGTTAAAACTTGGGTGTAATTCAGTTCAGTTGCTTAGAAACCCCTCAGCAGAAGGAAAAACTAACCCAGGCAGTTTACAATCTTAGCATCCCAGGCTCCAATTTAACCATATTTTTTTTGGCTGATATTAATGCTGAGCCATAGGGGCAGGTAAGACGAGTCAGAGAAGCAAGTGAACAGTTTGTCTGCAAAAAACAGAGCTGGCTGAGCCTGGTTTGACTTATGAACTTCACAGGAGGGTCTCGTAGGTGTCCTCGGAATCACTGATCCGACATGCACGCCAGGGGCGCTAGCCCTGTTCCTTCCCCAGCAGCAGGAATCTGCTGAACTGCTTTCAGGAGACGCTGGTGGGACCTGAAGATATTTTCATAACCGGAGCCTTCCCAACGCCTGTGCCTCTGCGGAATGACTGGTGCCCGACGGGCACCTCTCCCCTTGCAGGTCAGCCGAGCCTGAGCCATATGCTTCCAAACACCATCCGCCTCCTCTACTGAACAGTCATTTTTAATGTATGTCAGGTCAAGAAAAGAACTGAAAACACTGCTTTATGGTTTCCAAGGCTCTTTTCCACACGTCACTTCTCACCACCACCGCATGCCTTGTGAGATGAGCCTGACTGAGGGAGACAGCAGTGGGCTGGCTGTGGGCGGGAACTCTGATGTGAGGCCCAGTCCTAAGTGCTGCGTGAGTGCCACTCCCAACTGGCCTGGTGGGGGTGCATGTGTGGAGCATCTGTCCTCAGGTCCCCACCTTGTCATAGAGGGTGCCCACCATGCTGTCCTCTTCGCTAGTGCCCAGCAACTGGGCCAGCAGCTTGTGCCCGAAGTGCAGATAGACGAGTCCCGCACTGCTCAGCTTGGTCTGCCATGGCTTCCCGGGGGACAGGGAGCTCATGGTCTCTGTGAAAGACCTGAGGAGCACAGGGAGGTGGGGCTGAGGCAGAGTGGCCCCAGGTAACCCTGTGCATGTGCATGTGCAGGCACAACGCGGGGTCGGGAGGCTGGGGAATACTGCGGGAGCTGGAAAAGACAGCCCCGCGGGAGAGGCTCTGGCTTTTCCTAGGGTCACATAGACGCAGCGTAAAGTCTGTGCATGCATTCGACAATGTAAACCCAATGCTCACGCCATGCCAGGCTTTGTGTAGACATCCGGTACAAAAAACAAACCATGTCCCTGTCCTCACTTTTACCTGCTAAAGGCAGATAGGATAGACACACAAACAACCAAGCGAATGAATGCTGTAGCTATGTTATAAACAAGGAAGCGTGTGTGTGTGTGTGTGTGTGGAGAGCTTCCAGGTCATACCTGAGCAATTAATTTATGGGGTGTTCACCAGATAAAGGGTGAGGAAATGACATGCACATGGTTAAGAGATTTCGCCATGGAATTGCAAGAAAGGAGCTTGGGTATGATAGGTGAGAGGTAAAAAAAAGGTGGAAAGGGGCCAGATCATGGTAAGCCTTGCATGTCATTCTTTGGAGTTTGGACTTCATTTGTATGTAATGGGCGCCACTGCAAGGCTTTAAGTAGTCAAGTGCATCTTAGAAAGAGCACTGTGCCAGCCAGCATGGAGAACAGATACAAGATTACCTGCAGTGGTCCGGGTAAGTGAGGAAAGCAGGAATTTGAATAGCAGTAGAACACAGAATAGGGAAAAGTTATTAAGGAAGTAGAAACTTTAGTTATAATTGTAAATACTAATTAGCATCACCTAGGGAGCTCTTTTTTAAAAAAATGATTTTTATTAAATACTGAGTAAATACATTTTAATAAAATACACATAAAGGATAGCCATGACCAGTGTGCTCGGTGGTTAGAGCCCTGGCCCATGCACTGAAGGGTTGCAGGTTTGATTGCCAGTCATGGGCATGTACCTGGGTTGCGGGTTTGCTCCCTGCCCTGGGCTAGAACACATGTGGGAGGCAACCAGTGGCAAGAGACTGGGAAAGAACCATCTGAATGAATGACATGCATTGGGAGGGGATGGAGCCAGGGTTGGCTCTTCTTTTGAAGAGTGACAGTGAGAGATCAGGCTGTGAATACTGGAGGGTTCCCTGTTAGCATCGTTTATGAGTATGCACACTTAATCCCTCACAGATAATCACTTTAAACTGTGTGGTATGCCGAAACCGGTTTGGCTCAGTGGTAGAGCATTGGTCTGCAGACTGAAAGGTCCTGGGTTCGATTCCGGTCAAGGGCATGTATGTTGGCTGCGGGCACGTCCCCGGTGGGGGATGTGCAGGAGGTGGCTGGTCGATGTCTCTCTCTCATCGACGTTTCTGGCTCTCTCTCTCTCTCTCCCTTCCTCTCTGTAAAAAATCAATAAACAGTGTGGTGTACAAGAGAGGATTTTGTATCTATTTCTATTTTCAAGATGAGAGATGCCTAACTAGAGTTGTAAGTTATTGGCAAAAAGCAGAAACTGGTGGGAAGTCCAGGAGGAGAAAGTAATAGATTAGAAAGGGGAAAACAGAAGGGAATGGTGTTTGCTGCACTGGAAGGAGGGAGCTGAGGATGTTTAAGAGTGGGAAACGGAAGGCTGATGAGCTAGGGGCTTGAGGAGAGGGGAAAGGATTGGAATGAAGTAGAAAACCACACATATGTGAACTATCACCAACTACCACAATCATGTGGGCCCAACAGTATGATGTGGGGCAGCAAGGGCACATGAATGGGTTAATCCCAGCTGGGGTGTTAACTGGGGAGAAAACAGTACTGGTGGGAAAAAAGTCTGACAGCCGGAGAGGGAGATGAGCTGGGAAAGGCCTGAGGACTGACTAGGAGCCAAGGGAGGCCTGGGCCGATTAGACTCAGGGAGGTCCCAGGCCAGGTAGACAGGGAGGACAGACGGCTGTGGTGGCACGGAACTCAGAGTCTGCTTTCACGGATGAGGCAGTGCTTTGCTGACACAGACCACTGCAGCGGATGGCTGAAATGGAGCGCTGGATCAAGCTGAAGTGAAGAAAAGATATCTGGGGACCCACCTCTGGTGATGGTCATATCGGTGTCTCT